TGTAATGCGTGCATTTCGTGGCAGCAGTCGCAGCACACTGATTTTGTCTTGCCTTATTTTCACTGCTTGAGCCTCAGAAGACCGAGCCGACCAAATACGAAGTTGTCCGRTCYSTTCAGCKCATTTTTTCGGTGTTGAAAAAGTTTGTTCTACATGTCTAGTCTATGTGTTCTCTGGTCAGTGCTACTAACTTACAATTTAATTTAAAATACAAATTTGGTTTTCTCTATCGATACATTAAGGCCTGCCAGCGCGTCTTACTATCGATAAGCCAGTGTGTGCACACTAAATTCACTTAATCAAGTTGGCAGTCTACTATTTGTTTTGGCGATTGCACAAAATCGACTTGCCTTGTCGTTTAATCGAGACTGCAGTTACATTTCAGAGTCCAACGTGAGGGGACGTTTACGGTGTTATCCAAAATTTGTTAAAAAGCGTTAGTGTTAATGGGCATTTGAATAAACAAAACAACAATTAGTATACACGAACTGCTCCAAATTCCAATAGTGAAAATTACAAACTAACACAGCCAAGCATTAATAATTCCACCCTCTGTTTGTCAAATATTTATACACACCACCAACGCCCCCTGCCCCTGGCCGTGCGTGAGTGTGGCGCCAACGTACATATGTAAAAGCATTCGACGTTGCGTCCGATAAGAACAGCAACAACTACAGCTACAGCCRCAACAACAACAATTATTGTAAGTATATTTCTATGCTGTTGCTTTTGTAATGTTGTCCTTAGTACGTACATTTCCTATTTCTATTGATTTTTGAACGCTCTTGGTTAACCCTCAACTTTGGCCCTTTGTTTTTGTCGTGTTTTGTTTTGTGTCTTGCTCCACTTTGCGTCGTGTGCGACTGCCTGTGTGTGTGTGTGTGTTTGTTTTCGTTGCTTTTGTCATTCAACTTGGCCGATGTCTTCATTGTTATACTGTAGTTATTTTTTATTTTTTTGTTTCTCATCTGCTTTTATTCTCTGCTTCTCTGATTCACCTGCTGTTTGCTCCACGGGCAGCTGCAAAATCTCAGCTGCTACTGCGACGACAACAACAACAAAAGCAGCAGCAACAGCATCAACGGCAGAGCTTTCATTGTTGTTGCAATAACCGGTTTGCGATTTCATTATGAAAAGCGTGTTAACTTTTATTATTGTCCAATTGCACATGTTGTTAAATTGCGTCTAACCAATTGGAGCTCCAGTGCCAAATTGTTTTTAATTGCACCTAATTTTCTCCTACAGGTGCAAATTGGCCAGCTTTTCTCACTATCGTGCCACCTTTTTCTTATGTTTTCACGCTTGTCAGGAAATATTTTGAGCCATTTTCGAAGAAGAAACAAAACGTTTTTCGTTCCGGCTGAAGCTTTCCTCGTTTTTACCCTTTGTTCCTAAAGTTGAGTGCTGTCCAAAATAAATGGTCTTTTTCTGCACCAAAACGAAACTTTTGGCAAACGCGAAATGCAGCAGGCAATTCGTTTTTGCAACCACCGGAACCGTAAGAATCCACATCATATGCAGGCAGCGGGCGGCAGCCAGCACACGAATAAGGACATGGTGCCTGCACACTCCACGGATTTGTACATGCTCGACATGCGGCGAATCGAATTTTAGGTGGGAGGCTTACCTTGGGCAGACTCTACTCCCAGTATGCCAGAATTGTCCTCGATTCCTGGGCGCCCGGTTGTGTAAACTGCGGCAACTGTCAAGCGGAAAATAACAGGAAATGAATTGTAAATTAAGTGTCCTCAGTGCTGCCCACAACACGGTTAGTCGTTCTGTGGCCCAAAATCCCGTTATACAGTTAGGGGTCACCCCCGGGAATGCCATGGATATAACGTTTACTAAATATTGTACAGTTGAGTCTGCCTAGGAATTGTATCATCAACATGTTCATTTGGTTAATGGAAAAAGATTATTGTGAAATTTCTAATTTATAAAGGTCAAACTTTTAGGCGTGTTTTGAGCAATTTAACTCAGATCTAGATCTAATATCTAGGATTTTACAAATAATTATGTTGCAAATTGCATTTATTAAATATTGCATTAAAATTTGTCATATATTTGAAAAATCAATAATATTAATTCAGTTTATACATAAAAGTGATTTTATATTTTTAGATTAATGAATCTCTGGCTTATTTTTTTATTTATTTATTTTATTTATTTTTTTTTTTTTAATTATTTTTTTTCTTTATTTATTTATTTATTTATTTTTTTTTTCTTTGACTAATTCACGTATACTCAAGGTAGTTTAATCAACAGTTGAATTAATCAACATTTTTTCGAGTTACCTCAATTAAACAAAATTGGTTTTCCCATTTGCCTCATGTTAAAAGCCTTTTGCATTAACGTTTAACTACTTTTTGCCAGTTAACCATATGTGTTTCTTTACCTCTTCATCTTTACTTTCATCTGGTGACTTGCTCAACTCTTTGAAGTTCTGATAGCTAAATTTATCGACTGCTTTTAGCTTTTATCATCGAGGCTAACCATGTTTGGCTTTAACTTGACGTGAAAGTATTCGACAGTAACTGAAATATTTGCAACGCATTTAAGATGCGCAATTCCAGTGGCGCCACGAATCTTGCTGGAATTCAATCACTTTCGCCCGTTCTCGGCCAAGAATGTTGCAGACTCTTTTTATTTTTCAGCAAAACTCTGAACTAACTACCCTACTCTATACACATTTGCTTGCTGAAGTTGGGCTTATTTGGGTGGTTCAATGGCAACAGCTCGCCGTCATCTGCCACTGCCACTGCCACTGCGACGACTCTGGCCCAGACGGGGGATGCCGCATAAAGCGATGCCCCGTCTGTCTGACTCCATCCACAGCTGGCGCACTCCCATGCCCAGCAGCTGTCGCTCCTTGTGCTCCTTTGTTGTCTCGATGGCATTTTATGATACGTATAGTTTGGACTGCCTCTGGTTGGTTTGCGTTTGTTTGCTCTCAACTTGGGAGTTCATTCGAAATGCATTTTAACTGGCTTCCTATACACTTATACCATACTGTTCCATTTCTCATAATTTAACGACCACAGTTGAGATATTAAATTTCTTTATTTGTTTCGTTTATTACTACTAAATGGGAATCGAGAGAGCCATTTTTATATGGGAGAGAGAGTATATATTTATTTAGGTATACGTATGTAGGTATATATAATTGGCTAGCTCCGTTTAAAAGCTATTCCTGCAGGTAGAGCTTTATAAACATATCAACTGTTATAAGTTATATGACTTCATATATAGAATAATAGAATTACGGATATATCTATACTCTTATATTGACTCAATAGCTCATGGTATATATTCTATAAGTTCACTTCTAATACTTTTCTTTAATTGGCTAATAATCATTTCAATTAAAATCGCATAAGACTTGTGTATATGTATATGTATATGTATATGTATGTATATAAACAGAAAACCAGATTTTGGCTGCCCACAAAAAGATGAACTTATATCAGTTCAAAGAATTCTTGCTTATAGCATGTTCCTTTATTGCTTAGCAGCATTTGTAGGTTCTCACACAATATAGCGACCCCTATATATTATTTTAATTACAGCACGTCAAATTTTTAGCTAGCTTGAAACGTCGAATCACAATTCATTTCGTGCAGCTGCTTTGCCAACCAATTTAAGAAAGCTCTAAGGGGAAACGAAATTAAGACGCAGAGCAAATACTCTTTCTGAAAAAAAAAAAAAAGTGGTAAAATTATTAAGGCATTTTATTCATACATATACAGAAAAAAATTATACAAAAACAATCAAAATATATAAACGTCAATGACCTCCATTTCTGCTATATAAACACTACTACACATTAAGATAAAAATTAAACATAAAAAGTATTGCATGATCTATTGCACGCTACAAATATCATAACTTAATCGCAATAGCCCTCAGCTTAGTGTATAAAAAGAGATATATTATTTATGTATATCGTTTTTATTACGCATCGTCCATCGATTAGGTAAGAGCAACAGACGATTCGAAGCGCGCCTCGGCCAAAATAAAATTTTGTTTGCCGATTTTAAGTTGAATGAATAGCGGCAGCAAAATGAAAACCGCTGCACAGATCCCACAAAAAAACAGTTCATTGAATTTGTTCAGGGGGAGAGAAGTTAATCGAGGTTTCTCCAGCTGACCGACTCGACGTCGATTTGCCGACTCGCCGATTCTTTGTCTAAGCACGCGCCATTTCTAATGATTAGTCAGCCAACTGACGCGATGACTAAGCCCGCCAATGGAGCTCAAATTAGAGCTAGACGGGGGCCTGGGAAAGGTGAGGCGGTAAAAGGAGAAGGTCAGTTAACCCATTGCAGACCACAGCACCTGGCACTGAAATGTCCAAGCTGCCGGCAGTGGGCAGCCATTTGACACCAACGCCAGACAAACAACGGCGACGGCGACGAGTGACTGAGGAGGTTTCTCAATTGCATTTGCTTTGGCTTTGTTTGTCGCGGTTCTTTGGCCGGGCCTTGACTTCTTTCCATTTGATACGCTGCCATTAAGTTTTAATTTAATATTTTATCCGGCACCCACTCTCGCGACTTCTGGCGCGCCAAGGCGGCCACTTATTGGACTTATTAGTATGCCTGTCAAGCCGCTGGCCGAACCCATGCCTAATTTATTCACCTCAAGATTGCTATTCCTATATACAACCAAGTCCTACACGGCTCACATTTCCTGCTGCTGCTGCTGCTGCTGCTGCTGCTGCTCGCCTGTCGAGTTTTCATTTAACCACAGGCGGGCAAACAAGATTAATAGGTGTTAAAATGTCTAGAGTTTTTTTTTCTTATTTTTTGCATAAATAGAAAGAAAATCTAAAGAAAATGTATTTCTTTAGAGCTTTGTCTAGAAATGCTTACTTAGGCCTCATTTAAAAAAGTTATAGATCTATAAATGTATATTTGAATATAACGAAATAATCTATTTACTATTACATTT